CTGCCAGCAAAGGCTGCCACGCCGCTCCAGGAAGGAGCAGAGCCGTGCGCTCGCCGTGCGGTCGGGATCCTCGGTGCCACCCGGTTCTTGAGCACCGCGGTCTGAGCACTTACAGGGAGGAAGTTTCTTCCTGAGCTGTAGGTACTTCGGGGTGTGTTTGTCCCCGAGCTGTCAAGCTGCAGAGCCCCAGGGCAGTCCAGAAAGAGCCTGAGACTCCTAACAAGGCACGCAGACAGAGTGCTGCGGACCTGGGGCTGAGGTGGGACTTGAAATCGGCCTGGGTTTGAGAGGTTCGGCTGCTTGCCTCATTGTTTGGCAGCTGTCAATAACCACAGTTGGGTTTTAAAAGATCTTAAATGCAGAAGCTGCCTTATCCTGACAAAGTTCATGAAACAGCTGAGCTGAGCGAGGAGGAAGTCTCGGTAGTCTGAGGGAACGAGGCGACACGGGCTGGCAATTGCCTTTCTGCCTTTTTACCGTTGGTGTGATACCATCTCCAAGATGCCCAGGAGAGTCATCCAAGTGCTGCGACTAATATAGCTGTGCATGTTTTATTAACCTGGCTTTTCTGTAAATGTGGCATGGGGAAGAGACGGCATGTCTTAAAACATTCCTGTATTTACTGGTGAGCTGGGCCCAGGCCGACGGAAAACTCAATAACCCAGAGCCCAGCATTTTGGGTGTTTCTAACACCTCTGCCTACCTAGGAACAGGCCGATTTGCAGCATCTGCCTGATGGGGAGCACTGAGAGCTTTCGTTCAGGAAACACGGGACCAGAGAGCGGACTGAGGAGAGGGAAAAGCCGTGGATCTGCCCTTAGAGTAGTTCAGTTCCTGGTGCTGGTCACAGAAAAAGGCTTAAAATGGGGTTCGAGGCAAATCGGTTGACCACGCGGTACACGTGAAGGCGAAAGGTAGTCGGAAGCAGTCCTTTCTTTGCGGGAGTCGTGCTGCGCCAGGCTCGCTGAGGCTGCGTGGCATGGGAGGCCCAGCTAACCAGCGCTCACCTTCTCCACAGGTGCTGTTGGCAGCGGCCGTCTGCACAAAGGCGGGGAAGGCCATCGTCTCCCGGCAGTTCGTGGAGATGACTCGGACCCGCATCGAGGGGCTGCTGGCGGCTTTCCCGAAGCTGATGAACACGGGGAAGCAGCACACTTTTGTGGAAACGGAGAGCGTGCGGTACGTCTATCAGCCGATGGAGAAGCTCTACATGGTGCTGATCACCACCAAGAACAGCAACATCCTGGAAGACCTGGAAACACTCCGACTCTTCTCTAGAGTGGTAAGGATCCGTCGCTTAATGCAGAGTTTGCACGTGTGTAGCCCAAAACAGTGCTGTTGTAAGGGAACCTGTTGGTGAGCTGGTGGTGAAGCGCTGTCTGCCTCCACCCAGCAACTTGATTTTCCAGAGCCTCTTCCTGACCTGGAAGTAAGCTTGGACGTTTCAGTGGTATTTTTGAATTACGCCTAAGAAATCCTTTAAAATGTTTTCCCCTCCCTAACTAGATCCCTGAATATTGTCGGGCTCTGGAGGAGAACGAGATCTCCGAACACTGCTTTGACCTGATTTTTGCCTTCGATGAAATTGTTGCCCTGGGCTACCGCGAAAACGTAAACCTGGCACAAATTCGGACCTTCACTGAGATGGACTCGCATGAGGAAAAGGTGTTCCGAGCTGTCCGAGAGGTGAGCGGGAATAACTGCAAGCCTGGAGCAGCAGGGTCCCCTGTCTGGGAAACACTGGGGGGGTTTTGTGCAAAGGTGTTACTCCACCTAGGTAGGGATCATAAAATTACTTGGCTTTTCTGTAAATGCCCCGCTCCTGTTTCCCTTTTCTTTGCAAAGGGTTTGTGAGCAAATGCACTTAGTTCCTGTGCGGACTAAGACTGAGATTGCAAGGCTCTATCGGCCTCTTGTCTTTTATTCCAGACTCAGGAGCGTGAAGCAAAAGCTGAGATGCGCCGTAAAGCGAAGGAGTTGCAGCAGGCCAGGAGGGACGCGGAGAGACAGGGCAAAAAGGCACCTGGTTTCGGTGGCTTTGGTAGCTCGGCCGTGTCTGGGGGCACAACGGCGACGATGATCACGGAGACCATCATTGAAACGGAGAAGCCCAAAGTGGCACCAGCGCCTGCCAGGTCGGTGGACAATAGGTAGCAACTGTTCCCTGCGGCCATCCGCACCTGACACCCCTCCCTTACAGGGGTTCTTTGTCTGCGTAGCCCTCCCATTCGGTTACCGTACAGGTAGAGATTGTTAGGCCTTTGTAGAGCCTCCCTTTAGCTTTGCCGACCGGCGTGCGTTGAGCTCCGAGCCTTCAACGTGGGTGCTTGCAGGCCGGTATACGTTGCGTATTCTTGAGACCCCTCTCAGTATCAAAGAGCGTTTGTGCTGTGTACGACGGGAGCGTCCCATAGTCTCTCCGGAGTCTTTGATAGGCAATGGGCTTCTCATTTTGTGTGAGAGAAAAAGGGCCCAGCTACTGGTAATACTCAGAACAGAATCCAGAGCTAGATTACAACTTAGCACCCTACACGTAAGATCATCGGTTCTGTGCGCGTTCTCCCCCAGAAGAGGCTGCAGAGGTGAACGCTGTATTGTCGGGATAGTCAGGTGACAACACAAAGACAACCGAGGAAGGAGGAATCTGCTGCCCTGAGCCGACTTGGAGATTCTTAATGCCTTTTGTTTAGGCCTTCAGGTCCCAGTAAAGCCTTGAAACTCGGTGCCAAGGGGAAGGAGGTGGACAACTTTGTGGACAAGCTGAAATCGGAAGGAGAAAATATCATGACTTCTGTAGGCAAGCGCTCTACGGAAGCAGCCAAAGTTCTTGCTCCTCCCGTTAACGTGGAGAGGTAGGTACCGTCCTTGCTTTGAAAGCAGTCTTCTCGCAGCGTGCTGTGCAGTGCACATGTTGCTTTGTGAGCTAGCTTCCTTTTTAGTTTTCAGAACAGGCGTTTTCCTGCCAATCGGGTCCTGTGTGCTCGCTCGGCCTCTTAATTTAAAAGTGGTGGGTAAAATCTCAGAGGAGAGCACAGCAGCGGAAAAGCAGATAGGTAGCCCGATTAGGAATCGCCTTAACTAAAACGGGCTGTACAACCCGTGTTTAGCTGGGGCTGGGAATTTTCCTATGCCCTTTTCCCAGTGTTTTGCCTTCAGATGAGTTTCAAATACCTGCTGGTTTTCCTTTTCCTGCCTTATTGCGGCTTAGCGTGGAAACGTTCACGGCTCGTTTTACACGTAGCAATTCAGAACCTTTTAACGCCGTGAGCCACGCTGCTGTACGGCGGAGGGGTTGTGAGCCAATGGCACGCTGAGATGCCGTATCGTTGCTGTTTATCTGGGCTTCCGCCCGTGGCAGGCTTGTATCTGTGGAGCTGCTTGCCCCTGAGTTAACCTGCCGGAGCAGCGTTAGCGTCCGGTGTGCCATCCGTGCTGTTCCGTTCTGGGAGCACCCGCTCATTACACATAGCCTGTCCGTGCTGAGCCCTAGTCTCTCGTCTTACCCGTTAGATGCTAAGCTTTTTTTCTGTCTGTCTAGTGTGCACATGAAAATAGAGGAGAAAATTTCCTTGACTTGTGGCCGTGACGGAGGGTTGCAGAACATGGAGCTGCATGGCATGATCATGCTGCACATTTCCGATGAAAAGTTTGCGCGGATTCGCCTGCATGTAGAAAATGAAGACAAGAGGGGAGTGCAGCTACAGGTAAAGCCTGTTCGGTGCCCCGTGCTGTGGAACACGCTTTTGCTGCTCTCCGGGGCAAACGGTGGGAAATACTTGAGCGTGTTACTGTCATATGTTCTTGTCCAAGCCTTCTCAGCAAATACGTTGAAACTGGGAGTAGTCACCGCAACTGTTACCCCAGCACAAATGCAGGGCCAGTGCATGCTCGAAAGATTGAAGGTCGCTTGAGAAATCCGGTCTCATGCGCTTATCCTCCTGCCCTCGGAGCCTTATCTCTCCCGTGGCGCACGTTGGCATGCCGTCCGATCTCACTTGGACTTTGCATCATCTTGGTGTGCTGCTTGGTGCTTGTTTATGTGACGCGAGCTTTGGTTCTTGAGCAGGAGCGTTAGAATTAAGTTACTGCGCCCACAAAGAATGAATTTATTATCTAGAAAGCCATTTCTTCTCGGGGTTGCTCGTGTACTGTCATTGCTGCTTCTGAGACGACTCCTGGAGCTGGAGCCCTTGATTGCAGTCGGCGACAGAAGCTCAGAAGATTCCTAGAGAAACGTCCTCCCCTTTCTGCCTCTCTGTTTGTGTGACCTTACTGAGCCCCGGAGGTGGTGCTGCTTTGATACGCTCCTTGGCTCCCTCCTTCTCCTCGCCAAGAGCTTGTCCGTACATAGCTGGCTGCAGGTGTGCTTATGCAGTAGCAGGTTCCTTATCAGCGCATCTCGTAAGCGAGTTCCTAACGATGCTCCCACGTGTGCTGCTTCAGGTGGAAGACGAGATCAAACCCAGCGCTGACTCCTGCCTTTCTGGTGTAACTTGAACGTTAACTTGCAAAAATCCTCAGCTTGAAAAAGCTGCTTACGCATGTTGTTGTGAAGAGAGAACGTTTCAACCGAGTTGGGGCTGCTGTCATGCGTAGGCATTGAGGTTGCTGAGGGAAGTTTTTGTGGTTGCAGGGCGTTTGTCCCAGCTGCTGTCATGCATAGGCATTGAGGTTGCTGAGGAAGTTTTTGTGGTTGCAGGGCGTTTGTCCCAGCAGCATTAGGTTGTTTTTTCTTCGAGAGGTGTCCGGTTTGGGTCGTGGGGATGGTCTTTGAGATTTGAAGAGTTTTTACAGTTGTTCTCTGGGTGTCAGCCTGCAACATGCCTTGCTAGAGTTGTTGGCACAGCGGCAAGCAAAAATCTTAGCGGGTCAGCGTGTTCTGGAAGGAGTCCCAGGGTGGTAAGCAGATGTGCTCCACTTGGGCCTCTGAGCAAGGAGCAAAACTGGTGTGCATTTTGTCAAGGAAAATGCTCTGGGACGCGTAGGCCTGTCTTACTAGAACCGCATTACCTACATACGGTCCTTAGGCTGAGAGTTACAGCCTGGGCGTATGTTCCCCTTTCAGACTCACCCCAACGTCGACAAGAAGCTCTTCACTGCAGAATCGCAGATCGGTTTGAAGAACCCAGAGAAATCATTCCCTATTAACAGCGACGTGGGTGTGCTGAAGTGGAGGTTGCAGACGACAGAAGAGTCCTTCATTCCATTGACAAGTGAGTGCCGGTGTGCGGCTGGGGGCTCGGGTGGAAGAGGCTCGTCCAAGGGCTGCCGACTCGTAGCCCACCTTGCAGCTGCTGGGCTGCCTGGAGCGCGGCACGTTGCGAGGCGTTGGAGATACCGTGCCTCTTCCATTGGACAGTAGCGATTTGCGGCAGTGTGCGTTTTCTGCAGCGCTCTCGAAGAAAACGAAAGGCCTTTCTTACAGGCCGAATTCCCTGGGGATGGCTTTGCTGTGCTTTTTGAAGCGCATCGTCTGTTCCACGTAGAAAGCCTGCGTGGTTCAGCGCGCTGTTTCTCTGCCCTCAGTTAACTGCTGGCCGTCAGAAAGCGGGAACAGTTGTGATGTTAACATTGAATACGAGTTGCAAGAGGAGAGCCTAGAGCTGAACGATGTGATCATCGCCATCCCCTTGCCGTAAGTAACTTTCCTTGTCCGAGCGGTGCTAACGAGCGCTGTCCTGGGTCCCGTCGGTTCCTTCCCCTCTCCGGTGTGCGGCCGGGCTGCACCAACGGGCTTGGCAAGCGTTTTCTTAGCTCTGCAGGTAAGCTAGCGTAGCTTCTCGTTGCCTGCTCTAGGTCTGGCGTCGGCGCCCCGGTGATTGGGGAGATCGATGGCGAGTATCGCCACGACAGCCGGAGAAACCTCCTCGAGTGGTGCCTGCCAGTGATAGATGCCAAAAACAAGAGCGGCAGCCTGGAGTTCAGCATAGCGGGGCAGCCAAACGACTTCTTCCCAGTGCAAGTCTCCTTCGTCTCCAAAAAGAACTATTGCAACATACAGGTATGTCACTGCCGGTGCGATGTCACTCGTGCCTCTTCCAAGTTGCCTCAGTCATCCCCTGGCTAAAAACAGCCGTGCGGAGGTGTGGGGGCCCTGCCGTGCCGCTGAGCGGAGGCTTGGCCGTCGGCGTGGGGCTGCCTCTGTGTTAGCTGGATTCGGGAGCAGCAGCAGGCAGCGCTGGCGACTTCTTGGGTTTCCCGGAGCTTACCTGCAGTTTCCGTTGTGCCTTCCCCCTCTGAGTAATCCTCGATTCCCCTCGCACTTTGCTAGAGAATCTGTCGGCCTTCCAAGCCCAAACACTTCTCAGCATACGCCTGTCTGTCCGTCTGTCCCCGCTGAACTGTAGCTGGCGGCAGCTGCGTGACTCCTCGCAGGCCGCTTTCAGCAGAGACACGGTGCCGCAGAAAATCATTCCCCGCTTTTCAGGTTTCTTGAGAACAAAGATGTTTCTTTCAGGGCTGACTGGTGGCGTGAAAGCGCTGGGTTGGTTCCGTCCTTGTGACCGCCCCAGCGTCAGAAAGCGCCGCGTAGCCGCGGTGGGGAGCGGCGTTCGACGCTGAGCTAACGGCGTGTTGTCTCCGCAGGTTACCAAAGTGACCCAGGTAGACGGGAACAGCCCGGTAAGGTTTTCCACTGAAACCACCTTCCTGGTGGAGAAGTACGAAATCCTGTAATGCCAGCCGTGGGGAATCGCAGAGGAAGAAATTTTTAAATTAAAAAAAAAAAAGAAAGAGGCTGAAGCTTATTCTGAATGTTGGGAACGCCGCAGCCGCCTCTCTGCTAAGACGCGTGGCTCTGTCTGCCATCGGCGGCGTTCCTGGGCCACAGACATTTTTGGCAGAGACTTGGCGTGCTCATGGGGGGAAAGGCTACAAATTTCTTTGGCAGATTTTTACTGACCAGCAGAAGAGCGAGATCTCCGCAGAGGACCTGGCTGTGACACGTCCCCTTCTCCCCCGAAGACAACCGGAGCTCGGTCCCGGAGCCTACCAGGCATCGTTCTCTTCCTTTCTGCAGCGTCGCGCGCTGTTCCGTTGTTGGTGCTGCCGTTTTCATTTCTCCTCGGCCTTCAACTCTCGTTTCCGTTGATGAAAGCAGGCATTGAGATAACGGGAACGTGCGCGGGGACGCCTTGCTTCTCTGGACCCTTCCGTCTGGTAGAAGCGGAGCAAGTTGGCCGCAGTTTCCAAGGTGGGGGGGTTGTGGCAGGGGCGCGGGGTAGTGCTCTTAGCTCCTGCTGCGGGGGCAAGAGCGTCCGGCAGGGACTGTCCGGGGCATGGGCTCGCTGTCTGCCGCAGCTGCTCTTGGGCCAGGCTTTGGGACAGTTTAATTAGTTTAGAACCAGCTGCATGTCGTTCCTGGGGCCCTCTCCGTGGCGCGGGAGGCTGCAGGCTTTGCCTGCCTTGGGGCAAGCAGCCATGCAGATGGGGTTGCTCAGCCCAGCGTGGTGTCGGCTGTCCCAGAGCCGTTCCTCCTCCTGAGCACTGTTCCCCTCGTCTCACAGGGCTGTGCTCCCCTCGGAACTCGCCTCCCCTGCGTGATTCGGGGCCAGTCACTAACCGCTTAACTGGCCACCGGCGCGGTCCGCAGGGGAGTGCACCGGCCGCTGCCGTAGCTCCCGAGCACACAGATGGAAAGAAAATGCCCTAAAAACATGTGCGCCATGCTCCCGAGAGAGCCCTTCTGTGGGAGTGAGCGTGTCTCCCTTCCCCTGGGGTCCTCTGCCAAAGAAGTTCGTGGTCTCTCCTCCGTCAGCAGCACCCGAGCGGAAATGAACCCTGATCCCCGTCCCGGGAGGGCAAAGTAGGTGATGAATCCCAGTAACTCGGTCGTGTTGGGAGAGTTGCTCATCTGTATGATTTTAAAATGGAGTCGAGGTTAGTTCAAGCATCCAAGGAGCTTTTTTTTTTTTCCCCCTTAAAGTCGTTGGAGGGTCATATTTAAGCCGAGCCGCCCCCCCCCCCCTC